AATTGTATGATCATTTGTAAATTAATGTTTTATTTTTAAAGACTTTAATTACCTTTGAATATAGATAAGTGCACCGATAATCCGGAGTTTTTGATCAGAGTGATGATCAATGTTATCTATTACATTAGCATATTAACAAGAACTTGGCTAGTTTTCAAGGTCGTAAAAATGTTTTACGTTTCAACTCTTCCACTTCAAAACTTCTATTGCCAACTATCACATAATTAAGTCTTTATGTTTTCTTACAATATTACACTTTGCACAAAATATAATAAAGTACAAGTTTAAAATATTTAAAGTCGTTGCCTTTATCTTTTTATCCCTTTCGACAAAGAAAGAAAAAATAAGGATGGAGAAGATCGTTAAACAAGAAGAAGTAAACGTGATGAACATATTCGAAATAATTACTAGAACACTGAACTTTTCGAGTGGTTAAAGTTTATCATCAAATATATAAAAAGAGCTAAATCTCAAAATAGTAAAATTTTCACAAAATGTAAAAGTTAGATTTTAAAGGAAAAAGCTAGGTTGGGTACAGTTATTAAAGAGAACTTAGCCGAGATTAAAGCTGAACCACTAAAACAGCTGAGAATAATAACAACGGCAAAAATGTGAATACGATACACCATCGTGAAATAGATTTACATAAAAAATATTGGAAAAGTTAAGCGTATCGACCCTCTTTCTTAATTAATTGCAATCACGTTGGTAATGCTGATGCCTCAATGCGATAGCATTTTTTGTGCGGGCAGATTTTTTACAACTTCATCTCAAACTGCTAGTTAGCGTGCTAAGTACATTGCTACATTGCTACTAGTACATTGGAAACTATCATTGACAGTGTAATTATTACATATGTTGGTTTGATTTCCTTTACGTTTAATTTAATTAAATAATATTTTCATTATTATCGTCCATTTTTATTGGAAATTTTATATACACGATGAATATTGAATCCACATTACCTAAACTGCGTTTGTTGATGTTGTAGAGAGCACTTTCAGCCAATACCAGCTTAAAATTAAATCACATTCCACCGCGTGTGATGTAGTGGCTATAATATTATGCATACTATGAAACACTTGTTAAAATCATTTTCTCTCTTGTTAAACAACTACGCTTGTCATCCCCTTCTAAACATCATGAAGGTGTGTGCATAAAGCGATCTCCGACGTACTGAAGTTGTTAATTATGTATCGTGTATCCTTAATTAAATAGAAAGTTAAAATATTAAAACGATCAGGAACAACTATACTAATTCAAATGGTTTTTTTCTCTTGAGTGTTCTTTCTAGTTCAAGTAGCTGGATGACCTAGATGTTAACATGACAATGTAGCTTTCTCTCATATCTCTTGGCAAATTTCCTGATAGTTGGGGCTACGATTTCCATTTCCAGGTCTTTATAGAGGTCGTTATTCCTAATGTATCAAGGTGCAGCAACGATCTTTTTTAGCATTTTATTCGGAAATCTTTGAATTACCGCTATGTTATTTTGTCTAGTGTAACCTCGTAGCTCGATGCCATATGCCCATATAGGTTTCCATATCTGTATATGTATATAGAAGCTTGTTATATAAAGATACTAGAATATCTCACTATCAGCTAATACATGTTTCTTATGCCAAGCTCCTTTTCATTTTAAGTACGTCAGTGTACTTTCCTGTAGCACCCCAGCAGGAGTTTTGCATCAAACCTTATACCTAGGTATTACTGCTAATACAACTATTTCTTCAGCAAAAGTAGCAATTGTATTGTTTTTTTATTTGGGGTTCACGATTCTTGGTTTATTCTGAAACATTTGTCTAAGACGTAAGATTCTAAAACTGTTTCGGTAGGTATGTCCTTAGTTTATGATTTAAACCTTTAGACCACACTTTATCAAATGCTTGTGCTACATCTAAAAATGTTGCAGAATAACTTTAATTGTTGCTTCTTCTTTTTAAAAGAAGTTTTTTAAACTATTTCACTATTACTGGCAGCAATGATGTCCGTCTGGATTTCCTGGGTTGGATATTAAACATTTACTTAATTAATCTTCCAGAAAAAATTATGGATCTGCAATTAAAGCTAATTATATTATTATTAATTACGATATACCTCCTTCTTATTGTAAATCAGTGTTCTTCTTCATTACTCAAAAGATTTTGTCACTATTACTTGATCTATACACATATTTTCAGATAATATTGCAAAATGGACTTGTATTAGATTTGATCTTATTTCAGTTACCATCAATTTTCATTTGTTACGTGTAAAGTAAGTAAAACTGGGTGATAATGTTTAGATACTTTGCGGAAACTTATTAAACTTCACACCAACTTAATCGAGTTAGGCCCAAGTTAGGTGCTTTGCTTGCTTATAACAGCATGGTGAGAGGAATTTGGATTTGATTATCAGTTGGATCAGCAAATGTAATGGCATAATTGGAACCTCAGTTAGTACAACTATTATTAACTCTTTTAAAGGTAAAGAAGAATATATAAATGTGTTTCCATAAATAAATCATCTTTGATCCAAAAACTTTAGATTTCAGGTTTGGGTAACAAGTAAGGTGGGTGTGCACAAGACGGTTATAATGAGATGGTACTGCATCGTCTTGCATAAACACATATTTCAATAAGTTTTTAAACAGAACCTAAAAAATCATTCAGAATCTCTTCTAAAATAACTCTAGTCTAGACATTAACGGTGGGTTGGAACTAGAAACCTCCGGGTTATGCCATGCGTGTATTAAAACACCGTTTGACGTTTCAGATGCAGTGTTGCAACCTTCTTCAGAAACAAATTCAAATGTATCAAAATCGGTGGAAAGTTAATAAACTACAACTCTCTCTTTCTTGATGTTGTTCTTATGACGACAAATTTATGGTCTGTGGCTTCTTCTGACAATTATTTTTGTTATATCGGAATCTATTTTATGGTCCTTGTGATAATGTTCTGCTAACTGCTCTACTTTTTCTAATTTCGTATTCCTTTGTATGACATTTGAAGTTCCGTCCAGTTTACATGTCCAGAACATGTAGTATTTTGCCTCTCATCGACCTATTATTGTAATATGGGAACTATGGGATCGTAATTGAACAGTTTTAGACTCATAGATTTTAGCAACACTCATTTGGAGACATTGAGAACAATGGGTAGAATTTCTTAATACATTAACATGATAAAACCTAATAATAACATTCATCATAGATGAGGAAAATTACGACCAACTTCATTACTTTTTTGAAAATAAATGTTGCAAAACTTATACTAGGTAAAGATGAGTTGAAATTAACATGACCTTATAGTCATACTTTTAAATATGAACCTCATTTTCACCAATTTTAACTACTTCCTAAGTTTATTTGGTAAAACACATTGTATTATTATTACATATCATCTCAAAGATTACTTTTGGCATTCCACAACTAGTTAGTGTATAATGAAAGCATGTAAAGTGTAGACACGCTTTAATCGACTTAAATAGACTCTGCACTGAAGTTTTGATGTTAGAAGGGATATAGCAATAAAATTTGGAAAGTTATGTTAATTACAACAATTATACTTACAAACAACTTTGTGTTAATATCTATTATTTGAAGTATTTGATCAATAGATTTATAAGGGGGCTAGATGTACCTATGTTGCAACCTCTCGATTCATATAATGACAAGTATGATATTCGAAATAATTATAATTTGCTCTAGTCCTTTATTTTAAAATTAAAAATAAAGAAAGTTGAGCCTTTCAAGTTAGACATCTAGAATTATATTGAATATTATAAGAAAAAATATCTTTTTCTTTCTACATATGGAATGTTTTATAAAAAAAATGTATTAATTATTTTGTAATTATGTATTTGTTTTGTATCAATTTTGTGTTTTGTAATTATATAATTAGGTTGTAATTACTTTCCCGGAATTTTCGTCGGTAAATCTCAGCTTTCAGTCCATTAAAATCGGAAACTCTAGTATTTAACAACGGATTCATTATTTTCAGCCACAACAATGCTTAAAATTTTTTGAAAAATTGATACATTATGCTTCATAAAAAAACCTTTTATTTATTATGTATTATTTATTTAAATTTAAAATATTCCTGTATTTCAAGCGTTTATTTTTGATACTCGAAAATAATAATGGAAATGAAATCATATGCATGTGGAGTAGCCCCAATTAAATTTTATCTGTTCTACTGGAAGCAATGCAGTCAGAGATACGCGGGATTGAATTAGCTGATTGTGTTCAATTCTAAACGTTTACCCAATACTGTTCTATCCCTCACAAAGGAAACTACATCAAATTCGAAAATTAATCCCACGCGAAAGATTTATTCATGAATTCAGAACGAAATTAATTTATTGATTTAATAAAACATAAATACAGTTAAACCTAGATATATAGGATTAATCGGGGAAGAGAGTGTCCATTATAGCCAAAAGTCCGTTATATGAAAAATTTATATTTTGAAACACATTTTGATGAATTAATGTAACTTATTTTTAGTTGGTGATTTAAATACGTGATCTGTCTAGACTAGATTCTTAAAACCGTTATGAGTTTTAAGAAAAAGATTCTTAAAATATTTATTTAGTCATTAACTTTTTTTCTTTTTGATTTTTATGAAAATACGCGTTACTTTTAAAGCTACCTTATATTGCATAGCCGGACTTCCTGGAAGTGCGGTTTATTGTTAATTAACGATCGCGGTTCTAAAAGCTCGGTATACATGTCCTATAAATAAGCGCGAAATTACACGCCCGTATATAAAAGGGCCGTTAAACTGGAAAAGTGCAATATTTTCCATTACATTAAAATTCCGCGCAAATAAAAAACCGACCTCAATTTATCGTAAAATTGTGTGGGTAAAAATACCTTCAAAAGAAGGCTGACTGTTTTTCACCTATCCGCTGTTTCACGGAATCGAAATTGATTCCGCCAAAGCGAAGTTCTGTGTAGTGGTTTATTCTTCTTACTGCTACTTGGACGTATTTTCAACAAGAAACTATTCTTTTGTAGGGCGCAGCACCGGAAGGCAGCTGCAATTCCAACAGCACCTCTTCCCCAAACGCACGTTCCTCCAGGATGACCGTCAACTCGCAGTCGGGCCCTAGATCCCCCCGACCCCCCGATGACCTCATCACCACTGCCACTTCGGCCCTCAGAAGACTTAACTTTAAAACTGGCAGATGTGCTACTAAAAATACTACAACAAAAACCCAGGTAAGTACACACATTAATTGATGTTTATTAAGTAAGTAACGTAATAACCAAAATAGTTTGGGTACGCTATATATAATTTTCGAGTTGTGTTTAACGAACACTGATACGTTCGGGAGAACACCAAACACAAACTAACTCACCTCTCATTAACCCACATTTCGTACTATAATCAACAAGAAGTGAGATCAAATACCCTATGTAACTTTTACTGCTTAGAGATACTATTTCTAACAGAATTGTTTGTTAAACTTTCAAATAATATTTGCTTATATAACAAATTCTTATTGGATGAAACGATTTAAGTTTATAAAATAAAAAGTACTTATATAAAAAAGACCTAAATCTCCGCAAAATAAAATGTTAAAAGTTTCCACGTTGTGGTGGATGAAAAAAAGCGATCGAAAAGTAATTCCTTTACGACAACCTGGGGAGGCTTTGATAAAGCGAACAAAGAGAAAGAGACGGGGAAGGCTTATACTTTGCCCATCCCAATTCATCGATCGTCCCGTTTTTAAAGTTGCATGAATGGGACATTCTCACCTGGCCTCTATCGCTTATAATTCCCCAACAGCTCTGGAAACAACTCCCATCTCCCCGTATACATGGCGAGGTTGGTTCGTTGTTTCGGTGTGAATGGGAAGGGCGACCAAACTGGGACGAAAGCACCTCATACCATGCACATCCATATAGTAGGGACTGTGCTCAATGGAGCGCTTCGGCTTTTCATTTAACTTAACCGTCAGTTTAGTGGCTTTCAAATACGTATTCGACGACCAACACCGCGGTTCACTTGGACAGTGCATAGTTGGCCTCCGTACGAACGTGACCGCAATCGATATTTATAAGTCATTAGACGTCTGCGACTTCCGACTTTGTCGCGTGTCGACCTACAAATGGTGTAGACGTATTACGGAAAAATCTAATACGTTAAGATCAATATTTTGGTGGAGTCGCCGGTAAAATTAATCGAAAATCTTTGCGAGTTTAGTTTTGTGTTGGACCAAAAATATTTGGTGGAGGCGCCGCAAAATTTAATGAACGGAAGTGGATGAAACGTTCGGTTGTCAAGTGTCTGTTCGGTTTGCAGCGGTTTAAGCTCGACCAGAAGGCGAAAGCTCGTCGGAAGTTTAATAAGACTGGAATGCGGAGGGGGCGGGCTTATGCAGCCGCACCGGGTAATGTTTCATTGCTTCTGTTTGGTAGGTCGTTGTTTTGCAATCACCACAATAACCAATAATTTATGTACCTAAATCTTTCCTGCTCTGCATAGTTTATTGTTCTCGCATACCACAAACTCTAATCATCTATGAATTTATTATCTTTATCGTTTAGTATATCTTGTAATTACCTAGCTATTTTTATTATATTCCAATTTCACTTAGATGGCAAGTTAATGATCACTTGAGTATATCTACATAAATTTTATTTTAACAATGAGCTAAATTTCAATGACAAAGTTATTTACCTTTACCAAAAAATATTCTGAATTCATCACATCGATGTAAATTGCGTTAAGAACATCGGACGTCACACTCACCATGGTCCATTAGAAATTCAAATTTAATCCGGGCCGGTCGTGGGACTCTCGAAAAAAATTTATTCGCCCTCCCAAGGGTCTTTTCGAGTACACGTTTTGCAAATATATGCAAATACATTACCCAAAGCGCGTACAATCTTCGGTTCGTTTTTCTTTTCGCATCCGCACCTCATTTACCATTCCTGACTGCATACAGCTCCTTGTCGACCTTTAAGATGTCGTCGTCTCGTTTCGAGGACGATATCTTATTGTCTATGTACCATCTGCGACGAACATTCAGACGACACCAAACGATCTTCATGTGAGTTCTAAGGAAGCACTCTTGTCACCCGACGTTTATGTCTGTTCTAAAGATTAAAGTAACTGTGCGATGATGAACGGTGTATTTCAAGGACCGACTTTAATTTATACAGATTTTATTTTACAATTTATGTTCTGTTGAATGTCGTTAAATACCTCGACGATTTTCCTCTAAGGAGAAATTAATATCTGTAAGGGGATACTCGAAATTCCGGGAAATTATTTGAATGGGAAATTACTTATTTTTCATTTTAAAGATAAGTTTCTAAGAAATCCAAAAAGTAACTTAATATATTATGAATTCTATGAATTATTTCCGAGAAAAACATACTTCATGGAAATTAATATTGAATGTATGCCGATTTTAAAGTACGATCGTTGTTGAGGCAACTTTGCACTCCAATCAAGACTCCATCATCATCCGTCTATCGGTTTCCTTGACATTAACCTGAACGACGGCGAGGCCGAAACTTCCGGCTTTCGCAATTAGGATGATCCCGATACGGGAAATTGTCCGCAGTGCACCCGTTACCTAGTTGAGAATTTCGGGGTCGCCTTTCCACTCCTACATAGAATTGCTATTCCCTTCTGGAACGTAAGTTCGTTAACCTCGACCCCACGATTCTCCTTCCCTACCCTTCGTGTTTGATCGATACTAGCGATTTCTACTGTAATTGCCGGCACTCTACCTATAATCTCTAGAGGAAACTTCGAAACTAAAAGCAAGAAAATAAGTTAAATGAAAATTATAATATTAATCTACTTGCGATTATAGATATTATTGCAATAAATAATAGCACGTATTGTATTCAATTTTGTGTAATAAAGCCACACTTTTTAATTAAACTTAAAATAAAACTTTTTTAATAAAAAAGTATCCAAACCTAATTTCGACTCCAGATTTTTCACTACCTGTCAAACATAGTCGACATCATATCATTACAAATTCTCATTTGCCATTTTGTAGACCAGGACGTTTGGATGCTACTAAATTCGCAATTGCTAAGAAAGAATTCGATCAAATGATCTCTCTTGGAATTTGCCGTCCTTAATCTTCTTCTGCTGTCTCTCTATTACACATGGTACCTAAACAAGACTGTAAAGATTGGCGCCCTTGCCAGTTAAATTTGATAACTGTTCTGGATCGTTATCCGCTGCCACACATACAAGATTTTAATTTATATATTCACGGATGTAAAATTTTTTCAAAAGTTGATTTAGTTCAAGCTTATCAAATTCCGGTAACAGAAGACGATATTTTTAAGACCGCTATCACAACCCCATTCGGTCTCTTCCAGTTCACTAGAATGCCTTTTGGCCTCAGAAATGCGGCACAAACTTTCCAACGCTTTATTAATGAAATTACTAAAGGTTTAGATTTTATTTTCGTGTACTTAGATGATATCCTTATTGCGAGTAAAGATGAAGATACACATATGTCACATTTGCAACAACTTTTCGAAAGGTTAAGCAATTTTGGAATAAACATCAAAACCTCAAAATGCGCTTTTGGCGTACAATCACTTAACTTCCTCTGTCACAATATTTCATCAGAAGAAATTCGTCCTTCACTAAGTAGAATAAAAGCAAACAATGATTTTCCAAGACCAAAAAGTCTTGAAGAATTGCAAAGATTAATAATCTAATAATTTGTATACACAAAAATGGTCAAAAACAAATAGATAATTGGTCAAAAGAACATGAACATTCATTTTCATCTGCCAAGTCACTTTTAGGACATTCTAGCCCATCCTTCACCTTCATCGAAATTATCATTAACCACTGATGCTTCATCTACAGCCATTGGTGCAGTACTTTCCCAAACCATAGATCTCAATCTCAATTAAATTATTCTACGTTTGACAGAGAACTTTTATCAATGTATTCAGCAATAAAATTTGTAAACACTTCTTGCATGGACACCAATTCACAATTTACACTGACCACAAAGCATTATTATACTTTATACAGTCTAAATCAGACAAAACATCTCGTCAAATTCGTTACTTACATTATATTATTCAATATACATCCCATATCAGATTCATAAAAGGATCTTCTAATATAGTAGCAGATACTCCTTCACGGGTAGAATCTTTAACTTCTTTTTATCACAATATAAAAAGTATACGCGCTGCACAAGAAGATGACTTACAATTAAAAAAGCTTTTACAAAAACAATCTTTGGGAATCAACAAAGTTATCCTTTCAAAACAAGAAACTTCATTTTCTAAATTGAAAATTTGGTGTGAAACTTCTTCTTCTACTCCTAGAATTTACATCCCGGAAAAATTTCGTCATACTGTCATCGATAAATTTTCTCATCCAGGAATTCATGCGACTCAACATTCACTCAAAACACGGTATTTTTGGCCGTGAATGAACAAGGACATTTATCTTTGGACAAAATCTTGCCTTCGTTGTCCAAAATCTAAAATACACAAACACATAAAATCACCGCTTCAAAAATTTACTGTTCCGATGGCTCTTATCATGGATCTCATCGGTCCTCTTCCATCTTCAATGGATTACTCTTACATTCTGACGGTCTTTGACCGCTTTACATGTTGGCCAAAAGCTTTTCCTGTAAAAGATATATCAGCAAACTCAATCGCTATTACTCTTTTACATCACTATTTTTCCAGATTCGGCATTCCACACTTCATCACACACGATAGAGGCAGACAATTTGAGTCTGAACTTTTTTTCTCAATTTAATAAACTATTAGGGTCAAAACAGATCCATACTTCTTCTTTTCATCCGCGAAGCAATGGCATTTTAGAGAGGTTCCATAGAACCCTCAAAACGTCCATTGCAGGCACAAGTGACAACAATCGCTGGTACGAAGAACTTCCAATAATCCTTTTTGGACTCCGGTCTACTATCAAGGAAGATCTGGGACGTTTACCAGGAGAATTTTTATCAAATCCCATAATTTTATTGACACCGAATCTTTACTTATTAACTTACGTGAAACATTTTCGAAATGAAAGCCGTGCCCAACTTCATCTCATTCAACAACAAAACCTTTCATTCACAGAGATTTGTTTAAATCATTTAAATTATTAAACCTTCCATAATTTAGTATTGATATATCGCATTCTTTTTGAAGTTGGAGATATGTGATGGAGTTAATAGCGTCTATATTCTTTTGTATATTCT